TACTACAGAATATCGTGAACTGCTTTTGACATTCTGTAATATATAAAGAAGAAAAAACCGCATGCTAACAACAAATTTAATCCTTGCAGTCAAGATGAATACATTACACTATAAATTGTTCATCGTCTACACCTCTGGTCTTAATTAGCCATCTCAAAACCCTGTGCTGTAGGTCAAATGGGGTCATAAAGAACATAAGCGGCTTACCTCAAACTAACATCACAATTAGAAAGTAACTTAAAACATATGCTTTATTAGTATTCTAGATTTAGCATCCTCTCCCAAGGAAAAATAACCTGTGGTACCAGGATTATTGTTTTTCTTTCAGCAACAGATGAGAATAAAATTTCATGTGAATTAAATAAGGAAGGCAACAAAATTGAAGTTCCGCTAATTAGAGCCTATAGAACTTGTTTGTTCTTAATCATGGTGGATTTCTTCAAAACTTTAGACCAATTACATATTAAACAATCTGAGTTGAGACATCTTCAGAGACTATGCTAATCTGCCATAGATTGAGATTTTCAGAGGGTAAGGTCTTTTCACTCTGTGCTGTCCCTTGATTTAGAAACACAGTCCTTCACTTGACTTTGTTTATATGTATCTCTAATAATTAGCCCAGGACCTGACACAAAATGCTTGTTGAGTGATTTACTGCATATTAAATTAACACCTTAAAAGACAATCTCAAAATTCAAAAAATTTAGTAATAATACTAGTTTATCACACAGAGCCTTTAACTCACCCTATGGAGGGATGCTTTCAGAGTTATTTTAAAGTTGTCTTTGTCAAATGAAAATAAAAATGATCATATGAAGAACATCTCTAAAATTACTTTGGAGACAACCATTTGTACTTCATTATCTGTCACATTAGATTCTGTGTGATAATTGCTTTTAGAATATAATATTAGGAAAAGTTTGATTGTCCTAATGGACTTAAGGCTGTTAAAATCCTATGGCCTATTGTTCCTTCTTTCTCCTAGCTTCCCAGAACCACCAGGAGCTAAATCTGATGCCTAATTATATTTCCTATTGAGTGTTTTTGTAGTTGTTACCTCCTTTTTCACTTCCCTTTTCATTTTTGTAGCCTAATCCTTTTTTAGAAATGTGATATAGTTTAGGAATGTTAGTGTTATATCACCAGTCCTTAATTTTCAGTAGTTCTTTGAGCTTTCGGCATTACTGGCTACTCTTTGAAACTCTCCTTCCTTGCCTTTCATGATGTTCTTTCGGCCAATGAATACTTCCTGGTGCTTACTCAGATCAGGCGCGGTGGGGCTTCTGCCTGGTACTCTCCCGCTGCTGTTCCGAAAGTGTGCAGGTCCCCCCGAGTTCCCTCCCTGGTTCTGTAGTTTTTTTCACTCTGTTTGCTGTCCCTTGATTTAGAAACAGAGTCCTTTACTTGAAACTCTTGGGGCCAGGTGTGCTTCAGAATTCAGAATTTTTGGATTTTAGAACAGTCATAGGGTGTATCTACCGTATGTTGTGTAATAGCCTCCCTAGAGGGGCAGCACCCTCTGATCCAACATTACTATTTCTGCAGTGAAGATGGAGCATTTACAGTAGGTGGTGTAGACTATAAGGAGCCTCGTTACAATTCTTAGTAGGTTTTGTTGCCAAATGAGTTTTGTCCCACATTTGAGGAAAAGCTTTTTGGTTTCAAACCATTTTAGCTTTTGAAAGTGTAGATAAGGAATTGGTAGATCTTAAACTCTACTTGAAGTATTTTAGGCAGGGTGTCACTGAAATCTCTCTCTGGTCCTATTCCCAATACCTTCTGGACATCTCACTCAAGGGCCTATCAACTACTTAAAATTTGTACTGAAGCAAATTTATTGCCTCATCAGTTGACCTCATCCTCAGTTCTTAGTGTGTTTAGCTTCTACCATCATCACTATGACCTCTGGAATCCAATATAATATACTCTGAACTCGACTCCTTGCCTCCTGGCTTTGCCACTTGACCTATTATGGTTCAGGCCTTCATTACCTCTCCTCTCTGCCTTGTGCTTTCTCAAACCAGGCTGGGTGGACTAAATTACTTACACACTATGTTAGGCATTGGGAAATGCCAATAAGATTTTAACTACAGGTTCATTATCTGTAAGGGCCTCTCCTTAGTGGGGAAGACTAATAGAGAACTAGTTAAATAAATTAAGGGACATGTGGCACAATGGATGTTTTGCAACTATGAAAAAGGATGAGATAGCTCTATATGTCAATTGCCAAAAACATATTAAAGGAGAAATGCATGTTGCTCAACAGTATATTGAGGTGCTATAGACAGTTTATGTAGAGAAAGTTCTGGAAAGCTATCCAGCAATTCATAGCAGTGTCTGTGGGAAGACACCAGGAATTTTACTTTCTGACTTTTCTGGTGTTAAAATTAAAAAAAATTCTGAAAAACAGTTGTCAGCAAGTTAATTGTGATAAGAGGTATAAAAAGGAATGTAATATAAAGTAACTAATTCTACTTTCCTATGTTAGGGAAAGCTTAGAGAATGTTTTCCTTTAGGCACAGAAAGACATTACAGTCAGAGCAAAAGCAAGTTCAACGGCACCCAGATCTTAAAGGAGCTAGTGTGTTCTGGGAATGGCAGCTGGTCTTGGAGGGTAGCTTCAAGGGGAGAGTAGAATTTGGGAATAAGGTGGACGTTGTCAGACTGTGAAGTGCCTTAATGATTAATTAGAAATATGGACCTGATCTAGTCAGTGGAAAGTCTCTGGAGGCTGTTAACGTTTTTCATTTTGGAGTAATTTTAGATTTGCAGAAATGTTGCCAAAGTAGTAAGAGTTCTTATATAACCCTTCACCGTTTGTCTCCCTTTATGTTATCTTACATTACCATGGTGCATTTGTCAAAACGAAGAAACCAACACTGGTACATTATCATGAACTAAACTCCAGACATGACTCAGATTACTGTGTTCTTTTCTGTTCCTGGAGCCTATCCAGGATCCCACATCATGCCTACTTGCTACGTCCCCTTAGTCTTCTTTGCTATGTGAGTTTCTTTGTGATTTCATGACCTTAACAGTTTTGGGAGGTAGTGATCAGTTTGTAGAATGTGCCTCAGTTTGGGTTTGTATTATGCTTTCTCATTAGACTGGTGTTGAGGGTTTCTGAAAAAATACCAGAGGTGAAGTGCCTTTCTTATCACATCACATTAGAGGGCACATGATATTCACATGTCATCACTGGTGATGCTGACCTTGGTCACTTTGTTAAGGTAGTATTGGCTGGGTTCCTCCATTGTAGGCTTCTCAGGAAGTTTTCCTCTTTCCACATTTCTCTGCTTGTTAAACTTTATAGTATGATGATTACAACTGATATTTAATGCGTTGCCTGGATGATAGGAATAAGCTGGAAACAGGGGGTCCAGTTATATAATTATGGGTGCTACGCTAGTTCAAGTAAAGATGACAATTGCTCGATCCCATAGTGGCAATGGTAGTGAAAAGGACTGGAGGTATTAGGGTCTTTCTGAGCAACGGGGATGACTTATGATAGTTAAAAAAGAAACGGCAGCCCTGGCCAGTTTGGCTCAGCGGTTAGAGCATTGGCCTGTGGTCCGGTTTCCGCTAAGGGCACGTACCTCGGTTGCAGTTTGTCCCCGGCCCTGGTTGGGTTGTGTGGGTGGCAGCCACTCGATGTGTCCCTTCCACCTCGATGTTTCTCTCTCTCTCTCTGCCTCCCCACTCTATCTGAACAAAAAATGGAAAAAATGTCCTCGGGTGAGGATAAAAAAAAAAGAAACAGCAAATCAAAACCACAGATACCATTTCATGCCCATTATGATGGTTACAATAAAAAAGTCAGATAACAACAAGTGTTGCTAAGAATGTGAAATTAGAATCCTCAAACACTGTTGTGGGAATGTAAAAAGGTACACACTTTGGAACAGTCTGGCAATTCCTCAAAAATTTAAACATATTTACCATTTGATGCAGCAATTCCACTCCAAGAGAAATAAAAACATATGTATATATATATTTTATCCTCAACTGAGGACATTTTTGCATTTATCTTCAGATAGAGTTGGAGAGGGAGAAGAGAGAAACATCAATGTGAGAGAGACACATCAAGTCGTTGCCACCCACACGACCCCAACCAGAGCTGGGGACAAACTGCAACCGAGGTACGTGCCCTTAGCGGGAACAGAACCGGGAATTTCTGGTCTGCGGGCCGATGATCTAACTGTTGAGCCAAACTGGCCAGGGAGAAGTAAAAACAAAAACTTACATATATGGATATCCATAATAACATTGTTCATTATTGCCAGATGGTGGAAAACAAATATCCACCCACTAATGAATGGATTAAAAAATGTGGTATATCAGTTGCAGTTTGTCCCAGGCCCTGGTTGGGGTCATGTGGGTGGCAACCAGTTGATGTTTCTCTCTCTCTTCCTCCTTCTCTCCTTCCTGCTCTATCTTAAGATAAATGCAAAAATGTCCTCAGGTGAGGATAAAAAAATAAAAAAGTGGTATATCCTACAATGGAATATTATTTGGCCATAAAAAGGGATGAAGCCCTGATATATGGTATAACATAGACGAACCTGGAAAACATTATGCTAAATGAAGTAAGTCTGACACAAAAGACCATATGATTCTATTTATATGAAATGTCCAGAACAGGCAAATCTATAGAGACAGAAAGATAAGTGGTTTCTTAGGGCCGGGGGGTGGGTGGTGATGGTGGAGGGGCTGGCCCACTATAGGTAAATGGTATAGCATTTCTTTGGGGGATGATGAAAATGTTCTAAAATTGATTGTGATGGTTCTACAACTCTGTAAATATACTAAAGGCCACTGAATTGTACACTTGAAATATGTGAATTAATAAAATCCTTATCAGAAAATCAGGGAACACATGGCAGGGCAGCTATACTCACTCAAATTACACTCATTCGAGCTAAAGTGACTGACCTTATAACTATGAAATTTCAAGTTTATGCTTGAATACCTGACTTAAAAAATAATAACATGACCAATAGTATGAATCATTTAAACTTTTATTAATAAAACACAAAACTAAACTCAGACAACTGCTCTATTTTTATATCTGATCTGACCATATGCCAGAGTAGTGACTTTTTTTATGAGGCCACACGAGAGAACTCTCAATACACCAGTTCCATTACAAATGGCATACTGGAATAGCTAATAAAGTTAGGTAAATAAAATTAAAAAGAGAATTAATAAAAATAATGAATTTCTCCCTCAAATATCACGGGTCTCCTTTAATATCACGGGTCTCCTTTAATAGTCTTCAATGTAGCTCATTTGCAATCAAGATCAATCATATTGCACAACCCCCAAAGGAAAAAACTGAGGGAATTCATGGATAATTTTCAGAGCTTCATTGTAAAGTCCAAGATCTGAAAGAAACAGTTTAGCAAACATTTAATCTACAGTGGAAAGTTGTAACATCAATTATTACCTAAAAGATTTCTACCTCTTTCTTTTTATCTCCCTTTTAGAGGTCAACTTATTTTCACAACCCATCTTCTTTTTTTTTAATCCTCACTGAGGATATTTTTACATTTATCTTCAGACAGAGAAGGGGAGAGAGAAAGAGACATCGATGTGAGAGAGACACATCAATTGGTTGCCATCTGCACGACCCCAGTTGGGGCCAGGGACTAACCACAACCGAGGTATGTGCCCCTGGCCAGTATCAAACCCAGGACTCTTTGGTCAGCAGGCCAACACTCTAACCGCTGAGCCAAACTGGCCAGGGCACAACCCATCTACTAACACTGAGATATGGATCATCATATTTCTTTAACTACTGTGGCTCCAAAAGAAAGACGGAGTATAGGAGATCATCCATTGCACAGGCACAGTTTTTGCCTTGTGCTTTAGGTGTTATATATTATTTGATGCCTTTAATTCATATATTAAAATAAAACATAAAAAGACTAACATTATTTTTGTTTGACTTAAAAAAATTCTCTTTCTGCAAATATTAATTAATCTTTACTGAGTTTCTCCTACATATACACACACTACTTAGAAGCAGGGCAAAATGTCCTCCCATTTTCCTTTGAGATCAGAAAATTCTATAGAAATTGAAAATATACTCAAGACCAAGACATTCAAGTTAAGAATAAAAGTCTTTTTCTCCAAAATACATGAATTAGAATGCTTTAATTACCAAAAGGATGGCTATCTTCTTTAAACTGGACATAAGATGAACACATAATGGTTGCCTTGGCTGTTACTTTTCCAACTACTTCCACGATTCCAGAGATTTCTTCATCAAGCTAACACAAAGAACAAAATGTCAACTTCGTGTTATCACATTTTCAATGGTTAATTAACTTGGAAAATTGTTATACGGTCTACTAATCTTTCATTTCATATAACAAAATAATTTAAAAATTTACCAATGCAAAAACTGAAGTATAACTTGTTAAAAAATGTTTGAGTACTTATGGTCAGATTATCATAAGTCCTGCTAACTTTTAGCAGTAGCTCCAGATCCAAAGATACAGTTAAACATTTAAGTTGAAGTCAAAATCACTTAAAGATATTGAGAATGTCCAGCATTTCTACAAGGATTAATTAGTTCAAAAGAACACAATGAAAGAAACCTTCTATTATCTGTCTCTTGCACAGTGTGTTCTGTACACATTAACCAAACAGGACATGCATTTGTCTCAATAAAAGACCAAGAAGACTCTAGTGCACTGCTGGCCTAGTGCACTGCTGGTGGGAATACAGACTGAAGTAGCCACTACGGAAAACACTATGGTGTTACCTCAAAAAGTTAAAAATTGAACTGCCATTTGCCCAGTGATCCCACTTCTAGGAATATACCCTAAGCAGCCTGAAACACCAATCAAAAAGAATATATGTACTCCTATGTTCATAGCAGCACTATTTACAATCGCTAAGATCTGGAAATAGCCCAAGTGTCCATCAACAGATGAGTGGATAAAAAAGCTGTGGTACATATACACAATGCAGCTATAAGAAAGAAAGATCTCTTATCCTTTGAGATGACATGGAGGGACCTGGAGAGTATCATCCTAAGTGAAATAAGCCAATTAGAGAAAGACAAATATCACATGCTCTCACTTATTTGTGGAATATAACGTACAAAACAAACTGATGAACAAAACAGACCCAGAGACATAGAAGTAGGGTACAGACTGACAAATCTCAGAAGAGGGGAGGGAAGAGATAACCACAGAAGTTATAAGCATGTATGCATAACCATGGACATAGACAACAGTGCTGGGGGGGGGGGTGTCAATGGGGGAAAAAGGAGAAACATCTGTAACAAAAATAAATAAATAAATTTTTAAAAAACACCAAGAAAATGTAAATATAAAATGTAAAAACAAATTAAGTGACAGTTGTAAATATATGTAAACAAAAATAGAAAACAGAATTTAAAATATATCATCTTCATGTTTTCTTCAGGAAGAAAAGTTATTTAAACAAAGATTTAGCCCTGGCCGGTTTGGCTCAACGGTTAGAGCGTCGGCCTGCAGTCTGGAGAGACCCGGGTTCGGTTCCCGCTAGGGGCATGTACCTCGGTTGCAGTTTGTCCCCGGCCCTGGTTGGTCGTGTGGGTGGCAGCCACTTGATGTGTCTCTTTCACGTCGATGTTTCTCTCTCTCTCTCTCTTCCTCTCTCTCCCTTCCACTCTATCTGTACAAAAAATGGAAAAATGTCCTCGGGTGAGGATAAAAAATAATAATAATAATAATAAATAAAAAAAATAAAAATAAACAAAGATTTACCTTACATGCTTTTATGGTCTTTCATAAGACATAAGAATTATCACCTGGTATTTAGGAAATGTAATAAAAAACCCACAGAGTCCATAGAATCATTGGTTAGACAAGCAAAGGGAAATATAATGCAATAACAGGACAAAAATTTAATTTTACAGCCAAGAAGTTTTATAAGCTGATCCTTTATATATCTACTACAAGAATAAAAAATATGCCCTGGCCGGTTTGGCTCAGCGGTTGGAGCGTCGGCCTGTGGACCAGAGAGTCCCAGGTTTGGTTCCCAGTAGGGGCACGTACCAAAAAAAAAAAAAAAGAGAATAAAAAATATCAGCAACAAACCAAAACAAGATGTAGACTTAAATATAATATGCATAGCATTAATACTTGAACATACAGGCTCCATCAACTCAATGGTTGCACTTTTTCCTTCTCCATCTGAAAGAATAAACATTTTTCCAGTGGGATGAATCTGAAAAATACACAATGAAAACATAAATCCCACATACAAAAAACCTTTAAAATCTCATCAAAATAAAAATATTAAGTTTGACAAAAGATGAACAGATTGATCCAACATTATATAATAGATGCGCACAAAGCAATTGTTTTGAAGTTTATTTGGTTCAAATTATCTGATGTTACCATATCCAGTCAAACGATGCCCGTTTATATTTCAATTTCAGATAAACACTTCTTTAGTACAAATACGTCCTGTACTTTTCTTTGCTGTATCACACAACCCTATGCTAAAAACTAAAGGGGGTCCAAACTATCTAAAATTGAGATCTAAATAGTACATAGTTCACCGAGGGTATGTTTTAAAAATCAGGCATGATGAAGTAAAGAGAGAATTAGTTGTCAAAAGATCTGGGTTCTAGTCTTGCGAAACAGCTACAAAGCATGCAGATCTGCTTTGAGTACCAACTTTGCTACCTGATGTGGTCTTCAGCGTTTTAACCATACACTCCTACCCAGTTTCCTTACCTGTGAAGTCAGAATAACACCTATTTCAAAAAGAGGTTGTGAGCCTTTATATAATGTTAGTTGTATTTTTTTCTCTCAGCTTTCTTGAGTCACTGATTCCTAGACTTTGGGCCTGTATCTCATCAGAAGGATGAAGGGCTGCACTGGGATAAGGTAACAGATTGCTATGGGATCTGGAAGGGACAATCGAGGAATGCTTTATGAGAAATATTTCAAGGAAGAAACGACGTTTGAGAAGGAGAACTGCAGAAGAGAAGAAAATTGGACTAGATGTCAAGTCTGGCTAAACTAAAATATCAAGAACGTAGATGTGGGAGTCACGGCCATAATTTATTTTATGTAGATGTAAACAGAATGAGGGTGGGAGGCGCTAGAACTAGGAACGAACGGTGTACGCTGGCAAACATTGCTATTTCGCGCCATAAAAGAGGCGCCAAAATGGGACTGCAATAGCTAAAAAGTGTGCAAAAACAAAGGAATCGGAGCGACGTGATGATCTAAGGCTTTCTTTCAGTCCTCCTTCATCCTCCGTTACCTACCCCGAGGCCGCCCCCCGGCAGTCAAGGGGTCCCTCCCCCTCCCACCAACTCAACCCCCACAGACTATGAACCCGGGAGCCCAGGGCGGCGAACGCGCACACCTTTTCCAGCTTCCCCACGAAGCAGACGGGCCGGTCGATGGACTGAGCTAGCATGCTGGCGTTGATACGCGACTTGGGCGACTCCATCACCTCCATCATCATTGCAGACCAAGACCAAGAGGCCGGCTGCAAACTAGCGTCGGAGTGAAACAGCGCCTCGCGGAGGTCTATGGGCGATTTCCCTGGCACCAATCGGCGGAGACCAGCCCTCGCGCTCCACCAATCAAACGCGCGGAAATCTCGATTAGACCCACGCTGTCCACCAAAGGGAAAGCGAAAGGAAGAATGCGTTCGGAAGTGGGAATCTACTTCTTAGAGACGCGCGGCGTCCCGGAAGTTGCGACGGTTCGCCGGGAAGAGGGCAGTGGAGGCGGGGCTTGGGTGTGGGCCTGGGCGGGCGGGGCCTGGGCGGGCGGGGCTTGAGGCGCCCTCCGGTGATCTCCGGCCTCCCCGCGGCGACTCGACCCCGGAAGCAGGGTATCGGGCTCGGCTGCGGATGCGGCGGGAGACTGCGGTGCGAGCCTCAGGTATCTCTTCTCGCGGGAGGCGCCGCAGCCCTACTCGTTATCCTTGTCTCCGCCAACTGATGCGGAAGAGAGAGGCGGGAGTCGGTACTGTGCACCGGCTGTTCGCATTTCCCTACTCCCCCGTTTCCAGGTTCTGCGTGGGAAGGGTGCGATTCTTGCTGAATGAAATCTCGGGTTAGGGTTTCTTTTAACTACCCGTCCTTCTAGAGGTGGGAAGTGGGGTGTCCAGTGATCATCACCGCCTTTGTCAGTCCCCCAGATGCTCTGCGGCGCAGGGTTGGAGATTTACTTTCCAGGCTGCGTCACTTTCCCTCGTCAGTTTACCCACCTGTAGGAAGAGGGGGGCGATCTGATTACAAGAGGGGGCGACCTGAATACCTCTACGACCCTTTCTGGTCCTGACAATCTGGCCTCTGCGGACGTGCAGGTTTTCTCACCTCCGTATTAGCAACAAATTGAAGCGTCTAGGACTGGGTGGGTGGGTGCGGAAGGACCACTGGTCTAGGATAGGAGACGGATTTAAATTCCTGTTAGATCCTGACCAGGTGCGCTTGTCCCTGATACACAATTCCCCTTACGCAAAATGAGAGGGTAGATAACAATGTTTTGCAAAGTCCCAAATGACTATTGGCCATATGGTTCCCGGTCCCCTTTGAACTCCTCTGCAATCTTTTCCCAATTGCGCTCCGCTCCCCAGGACTCCGGAGGGGAGATCTGGAGGTGTGGAAGATAACCTGTCTAAAGGAGATTGGGGGGCGGAGGGGTGTGTTTCAAATCTCATTGGCTCATGTGGCTGTTGATTTTTGTTGTTGCCGATTGACACCTGCCTTGCCAGGGATATTGCAGAATGAGTGCTCATAAAAATAGTGCCAATGAGCCCTGGCCGGTTTGGCTCAGCGGTTGGAGCTTGGGCCTGCGGACCAGAGTCCCTGGTTCGGTTCCTGCTAAGGGCAGGTACCTCGGTTGCCGTTGGTCCCCATCCAGGTTGGGGTCGTGTGTGCGCGACAGTCAGTCGGTGTCTCTATCACATCGATGCTTCTCTCTCTCTCTTTCTCCCTCTCTCCCTCCCGCTCTATCTGAAGATAAGTGCAAAGATGTCCTCGGTGAGGATAAAATAAACGTGCCAATGGTGCTGCAGAAATTGGAAAACACTTTTATTGTTATAGTCATTTTTTAATCCTCACCCTGGATATTTTTTCCACTAATTTTTAGAGAGCGTGGAAGGGAGGGGAGAGGAGAAAAGAGAGAGAGACGTGGATGTGAGAGACACAACAATTGGTTGCCACCTCAACACAGGCGGGAAGGGGGCAGGGATCTGCAACCCACCTTTGTGCCCTTGACTGGAATCCAACCAAGACCCTTTGGTGCTGGGGCCCACACTCTAACCATTGAGCCACTCTGGCCAGGGCTGGAATACACTTTTTATTGGAAATTATTAGTTTTTGGACACTGAGTCCGTGAGTTTGCCTAAGGCACCTTAGTTGTTGTCATTCAAATTCAGGTACCTAGCTAGAGAACTTAAGCAAATAAGATCCTTTTGAGACTTCATGTGGCGATTTAAATGGAAATCTAATGTACCATAATTATAGTCTATCTCAGTGTTTACATAGTACTTAATATATTTGCCTTTTAATGTTGCTATCACTAAAACAAATTTAAAGATTTCATTAACAGATGCATGTCAGTTGGCATATAAAAAATTTGTGGTTGTATTGGTGCAAGTCAATAAAGTCCATTTTATATTTATTCCAAAGACTTAATATCTTTTGCACCTTAGTGTTGCTTTGGAAAACAAGTTGCTGTTATATAGGGTAGGGTACGAATGAATATAATCTTTAATAGCATTTTTTTTTAAGAGCAACTCTTAAAGTACCAGATGCTAATATCATTGTTTTTTTATAGTTAAAAGACCACTTTTACCTACCAACAGCATGTTTAAAAAACAAACGAAACATGGAGATGAGCAAGAAGATAATTTAAAATAGCTTTTTGAATACTTTTGAGTCACTAAAATATATCATGTAATATATAATGTACAGAGAAAAGTATATATGACTAGTATGTATACAGTACTTTCCAGAGAGATTAAATGAACCTATTCAGCTTAAGAAATGGAACTTTACCAATTAGCAGTTTACTTCCTCAATTAAGTCCTACCAGCCAGAAAGAAACACTATCTTGAAAACACTAAGCTTTTCTATATACTTTTATTTCTACATGTAGGCATTCCTAAATGGAATGTTTGTTTTTTTCTTTGTTTTTTTAAATCCTCACCTGAGGATATTTTTTTTCCCGTTTATCTTCAGATAGAGTGGGAGGTGGAGAGAGAGAGACAGAGAGAGAGAGAGAGAGAGAGAGAGACATTGATGTGAGAGAGACACATCGACTGGTTGCCTCCCACAAGCCCCTGACCCAGGCCAGGCCTGGACGAACCACAACCGAGTTCTGTGAGATGCTCTGACTGCTGAGCCAGACCTGCCAGGGCTGGAATGTTGTTTAACTTTATGTAAAGGGAATCATACCATGTATATCTTCTCACTTGTTTCTTTTGCTTGTTTTTGAGAGTAGTCCGTGTTGACACTTATAAGTGGAGTTCATTCTTTTCATTCTGCTACTTCACTGTTACTGACATTTTGATTGTGTGCAGTTCTTTTCCATTGTGTATAGGCCTTCTGTGAATATTTTTGTACCTGTTTGTCAGTGCACTTGTTTAAAAGTATATCAGTAGAATTGCTGGAACATAGGGTATGCATCTTCAGCTTTACTGGTAAAACCAAATTTTCCCCAAGTAGTGCTACCAGTTTATTCTCTCATCAGGAGAGGAGGAGAGTTCCAGTTGATCCACATTTTCAGCAACTTTTAAAAGTTTTTTTCCCCCTAATCTGATGGATGTGAAATGGTTTCTTGTTGTGATCTTAATACAGTTTTTCAAATATTTATTGGCTATTTGTGTTTAACATCTTTTTTTTTTTTTTTTTTGCAGATTTTTCTTATTGATTTTTGAGAGCTAGTAGTGTGGATAGTAGTGTTGCATTTCTCAATTTTTGGCCTATCTCAATTTTTTCATTCTTTCTGTCTTTTACTGGAAAGAGCTCCTACTTTTAATATAGTTAAAGTGTTTTTCCCTGAAGTTTTAATATAGGTGAAAAGTCAATTTAAAAAATCTCACTTGAGAATCATTTCTTTTTTTTTTTTTTTTCCTCACCTGAGGACATTTTTAATTTATCTTTAGATAGAACAGGAGGAAGAGAGAGAGAGAAACATCGATGTGAGAGAGATACATCGACTGGTTGCCACCCATATAACTCCAACCGGGGCCAGGGACAAACTGCACCCAAGGTACATGCCCTGGGCGGGAACCAAACCCAGGTTTCTCTGGTCTGTGGGCCGACGCTCTAACCATTGAACCATGCTGGTCAGGGCTAAAGATTTTTAACTGATTGTTGCTAATATATAGAAATGCTTTTGACTTTTTCTGGCTGTCCAGCTAAACTCTCATTTCTAGTAATTTTCTATAAGATTAATTTTCTATTTATATGTGAATAATTTTGTTTCTTAACAGTTCTTAAACATTTTATTTTTCTTGTCATTGCCCAGACTAGAGCTTCCAGTACCATTTTGAATAGAAATGGTGTTTCAGCCCAGCTGGTGTGGTTCAGTGGTTAGAGCATTGTTCCCATACACCAAGGTTTTGGGTTCTCTCCCTGGTGAGGGCACATACAAGAAGCAACCCGTGAATACATAAATAAGTGGAACAACAAATTAATGTTTCTCTTTCTCTTCCTCTTCTCTCCCCCTCTAAAATCAATCAGTCAATCAATAAGAATACACAAAAGCTTAGTTTCACATTTCAAAGAAGTCCAGAGACATGCAACTCAGCATGCAACTATGTGGTAGTGAGTACTCCTAAGACATCAGGGACCCTGGTTCCTTCTGTCTTGCTCTTCTTCTATGCACAGTATCTGGTTCCATCCTTAAGGTCACCTCATAGGTCAGGATAGGTGCTGAAGCATCAGGCATCTACTTCTCATTCCAGACAGCGGAGAGTGGCAGGCAAAGGGTGTGCCTTCATGGGACTCAGCTCCCTGTAAGGAGCCTTCCTGGAAGTCCTGTACAATTTGAAGTTCTACTTACTGGATTAATGACTTTCCCATTTTTTCCTAGTTTGATAGGAGTTTTAATTGAGTCATTATGAAATTTGATCACTTTTTTTTGGCCTTGAGATAATTGAAATGAGTATATTTTCCAATATTGAACCATGTTCTCATTCCTGGAAGAAACACAACTTGGTTGTGATATATTCTTTTATCATATATTCCTGGATTGGATTTGCTATTGTTTCGTTCAGAATTTTTGCATCATGAAAATCCACGAGTGAGATTAGCCTGTAATTTTTCTTTCTTATATAGTCTTTGTTAGATTCTGGTATTATGAGGGTTGTACTAGTCTCAAGAAATGAGTTGTGGAATGTTTTCTCTATTCTCTCTGATTCTGTGTAAAATTGAAATTACCTATAAACATTCTGGTAGAACTCACCTGTAAAACATTCTGGGTCTGGTATACAGGCATACCACGTTTTACTGTGCTATAATTTATTGTGCTTTACAGATGTTGTGTTTTTACAAACTGAAGACAAGACTTTCCACCAGCAAAACGATTATGACTCGCTTTATTGCTATACTTGCTTTATTGCAGTGGTCTGGAACAGAACGTGTAATATCTCCAGTTATGCCTACGGTTCCCCATACCTACTGCTCTTGGCATGTCCCACAATTTTTCATAAGTAGATATTCATTATCATTAAGTTCTAAATATTTTCTAGTTTCCAACATATTTCTTCTTTGACTCACAGGTTTCGTTTCCAAATGTATAGGTTTATTTATTGAAATTATTTTGTTTTGTTACTAATTTCTAATGTAGTTGCAGTGTCATCAGATGGTAAGGCCTGATACTAATTCTTTCAAATTATATGAGACTTGCTTTAAGGCTTATCAAATACA